AATGGGGAGTATGGAAATAAAGAACAGAAGAATAACATGTTCTATTCAGATTAACAAAGGATTGCAGTAAACCTCGTAATATGAATCAGCCCACGATATGCTAGCTTGACCACAGCGGGTCAGTGGTTTGTGGGCTTGGAAGGGCAAGTTGACATAACTCAGTATTTCTATCAATCCACCAACCCATTGACCTACTAATAAAAAATTTTGTTTATATACATTTTTTGAATTTTAAAAATAATTTATTAGAAGTTATTTTCAAAACATTTTGAAGGTATATAATAAGTTGCAAATAACAGAAAATGATTGATTCATGAGATTCAAATATCCTTAGTTCTAATAATTTGTAATTAAAACTTCTATATTTACAATTAATTATTGAAATAAAAATAATGTTTACAACTCGTTTTTTCATAATAGCTCGGGGCGGGCCACATTGTTATTAATTAATTGGCCATTTAGGATATAATTATTGTTCTTCCTAAATAAAATAACTGAATAAAAGCCTCTTAATCATTTTCATATTGGTGTAATCCCTTAGTTCGTTAACCTGTGACAAAATTTTGAAAGTTTTTTAATATTTGATATAAGATGAAGTTAGCATAATTAATCCTTTTTTTCAATTTTATCTATTTTTTATTTGTTGTCATTTGAATTAATAAACAACAATTTATTATGATTATTATTAAAAAGTAAAATTAAAAGATTATATGCTTTTTATAATTTCAAAATTATAAATAATATTTTTTAATATATGCGAAATTAGCTAATATCGTCTTATTCTAAAGATTGGAAGAGAATGTTTCTTTTGACTTTGTTAGATAGGGGGAAAAGTAGGTTTGATGGTATCACGTGCCAAGATTTTTTTTTTTTTAAACTATTACTATATGACAACACATTATCGTGGGGCACTATAAAACGAGTTTTCATTAAACTCATCAGACATCCTATAGATTAATACAAAATTTTAAATTTTCTTTTAATGGGATAAAGCAATTTTTAATCTTTTCGACATGGTAAGAATGGAGGAGTGTAACATCCTAAATTTTTAATTTAAAAACTAATTGTTAATTAGAAATAAATTAGTAAAGTAGTGAATTAATTGAATTGATATTTTGGCATGATGGATTGTTGAATAAATAGGATTAAAAAGAAGAATGACATTTTAGAGTAAAACGTGCGAGCAACAATGGAATTCTCCTCACTATGTTATGGCATATGCTACATGTGCAGCAACGCATGGCACTTAATTTGACTTTTCAAGGCATGCCTTTGCTTATGGAAAAAGAAAGAAAAAAGAAGAGAAGAGTGTGATCTGCTAGGGCATTAAACCACGAAATGTCAAGAGTTATTTTCGACTAGTTGCTTATCAAGTAAATTTCATACCACTCTAAACTCATATTCTACTCTAATTTCTCATAATTGAAAAATAAGCAAATGGGATTAAGGAGTTTAAGGGGTTTGCGTGTCTCGACTCGAGTCATGGGAGTTGATTGCTTAAGATAATACCATGAATAACCCTTTCCAATAACAAAAGTGTTGCGGTAATTAAACAATTCATTTTGCTTATTAGTTAGTTTAATTGTTTGTGAGTAAATGTGTATAATATATGTGTTTTAGTCATTTACATTATTTGAAAACTTATATGATTTGCATCAAAAAGAATTCAATTTACAAGGTATATAACTAATGAAAATGGTTTTGGAAAAAGAAATATTAAAAGGTATATATATGATTGTTTTATGTATATGTGGAATATGCTTGAAAAATGCAATTATATTATCTAAAAAATGCATGATCATGTTAGGAGTGGGAGTTTACCTATAGGAAGGAGTAGTAAAAAAATCATATGGCATTTATTCTCCTTAGTATCTGACGGGGTACAATATTGGAGAATTTTTCTCATTAGTGCCTACATAGGTATGATGTTGGAGACTCTCCTTAGTACCTATACAGGTGTGATGTTGAATATTTATGCTCCTTAGCATTTATGAGATGTAGCATTGAAGTAACAATACCCCAATTGTGTGTAACAGGAAGAAACCCATAGTCTAGATGTGGGATAAAACACATTTGGCCGAGTGATTCTACCAATAAAAACATATTCAAATCAACATATAAATGTTTTGTCTAGAGGATCTTATGGATCCAATGGGGTGATACAGAAAATCAGATGGATATGATGATCATACTAATGCACAAAAGTGGTTTCATGAAATGGATATGTTCACATATTCACAGATGTTTAGCTTACTTGTTTGATGTTATCTTACTAGTATATAGATGTAAATTATTTTGATTAATGAGATATTTATCTCACTCTGTGGTTACCATTTTCACAGGTTCTCATAGTGAAAAGAGCAAGGGGAGAGATTCAAGCTAGATGTAACGTTGCTAGTACTATGCTTTTGGGAATTTGTGTAATAAATTTGCTGTGTTGTAAAGATTAATTATATAAATTGTCATAGGAATGCATTAACATATTTTAATACATTTGTGTGAATGTTATGTGTATATCTTAGCCCTATGTTGTGAAAATATATGAAATAATGTAAATTGTGACAATGAGGGTAAGATACTAATATGAATACATGATTGTGTGTTAAAAGTGATAGCTATTTGAAACTTGGCCAAAGAAGTATATATAAAGAACCGGTAATTCGAGCTACCTGAATTCGCCTAAAAAAAGTTAAGGTTAAGCTTGACTATATAGGCTTTTTCAAAAAGGTATGATACTTTAAACCCAATTCAAATAAACCTAATTTGAATTAAGCCTGACCTAAATAAACCCACCATTTAAAATTTTCAACTCTATATATATATATATATAATTGGTAATTTTGGCCAAGCTTGACGAACCAGCTCAAACCCAGCCCAAAAAAGTTAAGGCCGAACTTAGTTATATAAACTTCTTAGAAAGAATGGGATACTTCAAGCTTGACCCAAACAAACCAACCCCGCCTGAATTACCGAGTCTATATACGTGAAAGTGTGAAAATTGACCCTTAATGTGCATGAATGAGGGAAATTCAATGGCCAAATTTATATATGCATGTGACTTTGATAATATAATTGGTTAATCAGATGTCAAATGTCTCGTTGAATATGATCAAGGCCTAAAAAGTAACTAATAAAATTCAATTTGGCTTTGGGACCCTTAGGTATGTGGAAATGATATAAAATGATTATTTTGCATCAAGGTGTCTGGTTTTTAAAAGAAAAGTCAGATTGAAATGAAATCAGTGTTATTAATTAAATTTTGAAACAAATTGTGTGAAAAACTTAAGTCACTACAGTCAAAACTCATGCAAAAATGATGCACCATCAAAAATTCATATCAATTGAGTTATTTTGACAGCAGAAGCTGATACGTGCACCACAATGCACATGTCACATACCACGACATATGGTCCTACTTGCCTCACTATTTTGGCCCTATCATTTTATTGAATGTTACTTGTGCAATATGTATGCTTCTGCCAAGTAATAATACTTACTTTTAATATGATTTTAAATAGTTCTAAAAAAATTTTAGGATCCCAAACTATTTTATGACATTTACTTTCTATGATTTTTGACGGAATGATTATGGTAAATGGGTATAATAGAATGATGTCGAGAAGGACATTACAAGGAGGACAATGAGAGCTGGCAAGTCGCAATGGCTAGAGACGATCAATGGTCACGGAGGAGAGTTGGAGTGGTGACCAGAGAGATGAGCTATGACTTGTGACTTGCTGGTTGATGATGAACGACAAAACAAGTGAGCAAGGAGTCAAGGAGGCAAACGAGCGAGGAGTGAGTGAGAGTTTGGGCACTGAGAGCGCGATTATGCAATTTCTCTTCTTTTACAAAAATAATAATAAGCAGGCTAACCCACAGTCCAGGGAATGTGAGGCGAGCCAAAACCAACCCACATAGAAATGAACCCCTTTTTTTTTTCAACCCAACCCACCTTTTTGTGTGTGTTGGCAAGTTAAGCCTTAGCTCTAGATTAGGGTCAGCATACACAGAGACAAATAGAAAGAAAGAAACCATGGAAAGAAAATTTATGAATTCAAATCCAAATTTAAATTCAAATTCATTGCTTATATTTCCTTTATAATTTTAGATTCTTTCTATACCATAGCCATTTAAAATTTCAATCAATTCAAACCTCTTGCTTATTAAAATTTCACTATTGACACCTATTTAATTCGTATTTTTTCTTAGCTTTTAAATTTAAATCTACTAATCCAAATGCTGCCTAATGGTAAAATCGTCATTAAATTAGGCTCCAAATGAGGAGAGGGGAGCATCTACAGGTGTTGAACAAAGTCCTCCACTAATCAGGGTTTTTGATAATCTTTTCCCACCTACAGGTGTTGAACAAAGTCCCCCACTAATCAGGGTTTTTGGTAATCTTTTCCCACCAAAGAGCATGGAAAAGATGAAGCTAATAAGCTACCCCCAATGTAACGAATGGACACTATAAAGGCCCACAACCTCATCTAATTTGCTCACAATTTTAACATGAACATCTATCCCAACCAACCCTGCGTTTAATACAGAGGATGAACACAACCTCCAAGACTAGCAACGAACAAGGGATGGAGAAAGAGGATACCCTGGCTTAACTCCGCGCTTCCCTCTAAATCACAACTTAGGTTCACCATTGATAATGGCATAGAAAGCAACACAAGGGTTTACAAATTGACTGATGCAGGATTTCGCTCAGGAATTTCACGATGGTTTAATCCACAAGGATTTACAAGGAACAAACTTGAGTTACAGAACCATTTTCATTAGGAGTTTTGTGATTATCATGTATTCCACAACTTACTAGTATCTGGTTTTCTGGTGTAGTAGGACCCTCCTATTTTGGGCAAGTAGCTGTCGTTGAAAGAAGAATCCGTTCATGTGCTTTTTCTCGTTGAGATGAACACCCCCCCCCCTCCAAAAACCGAAAGACCCAAAAAAACAAAGAAACAGAAACAAAAAGAAAAAGAAAAATAAACACATGAAGAGAATCTATCTATTTCAACATTAAATCATAAAGTACGGAACAATAGTCACCCTTGTTAACATTAAACATCTAGGCAATCGAAGGTACGTGATCAGCACATGTTATTCCAAACAGATCACAAGGAAGAAAAATGAAAACATCATTTGCTACACTGAAGAGCCAATGACTTCAACATAGAGCTAGATGAGTACATACCAACAAATCATGTCCCCTTAGATAAATTAAGGGACAGATCAGAAGTGTTTCTCGTAATCTTGTGGTGGTGGCTGCTCCCAGTTCTGCAAAAAGCTGCCTATAAAAAGGGAAAGTAGGTTCTTAGCAAGAAGCATATAAAGCATCTTTCTTTTTGAAGCGGGAACAACTCTGCACAGCAACATTTTACAACATTATTCTATAATTGCTACGTTAGACTCATTCAGTTATGCATCTTATAGAGGCTTACAAAAATAAATTATCCTAATTTCATTTCAGAATTCTGAACATGTAAGTAACAACTCAAGGTTCGTGTGTCCAGGCATCAGTTCAACAAATTATGTTTAATGCACACATACACTGCCACACCACTCACAAAGAAATTTCACCAGCGATATTAATCTGAATCATTAATCAATTTAACAAACATTATTAATAAATTCTCTGCAAAATAATATTTCAAACCAAGATTGCAACAAATACTCATCAAATTATCAGTTCTAATTATATATTGAGATCATTTCATTCTCATCCTCAATCTCTCTCACATGTCTAACGTTCTGTACGCCAAACAAAGCCTAGATGTGGTGAGATTTGTGTGAAATTACATTTAATCTATATCATTGTAAAAAGTCAACAGATTCATAATCCTATTAGGATTTTTATGATGTGGGATACAATAGCATTTATTGCCTTCATCTTAGCTAGGCTTTTGCCTATATCACTTGTACAGAGTTCCTTGGAATGAAATTAACTTATCAGAGGTGAATCTGGGTTTCAAATCAAAGCTCAACTCTTCAAACATGGGAGATAATGCTGAGCTGAGAAGCAAGATTCGGAGGCAAAGGGCTCAAACTTATGTATTCTGTATAGCTAACACACCAACCACCATAGGTGCAAGCTTCAATGGCCCCTCCTTCCAAATTGCCACCAAGAAGCTTGATGGAAGAAATTATCCCTAGAGAGAATAGGCAATCCTACTTGCAATAGGTGGAAGAGACAAACAAGGACACATCACAAGGAAGCCAAAGGAGCCCAATGTCACAAATCATGTTGCTTTCCCAGAGTTGTAAAATAAAAATTTCATGATCTCCACTTCATGAACGCTATGGCCTCAACAATCTTGATGAACTAAATGTTCCTTCCCATGCTCGTGATATCTAGGAGGAGGGCACAAAGTTGCAAAAGTCTGTTTATAGTGATTCTGTATAAGTATTAAACTCATTCAAAATGAATTCTCTTTGAATCATCCAATGACCAACACTCAATGTGAGATTAGAGATCTTATCATGCAGCCTTAGTCTATCACTTTCAATTACATGGCCAACTAACCAAATAGTTGTGCCAACAAGACAACTTAACAAGCCCATCATCACAGTAGCTAGAACCCCAATCACTTTTAGTTTCTGTGCGAATTAATTCCATAGTATTGTTAGCTCAAAAGCACGGGCACGTGAAAATGGCCGGCATGTCCATGTCGGATGACACGTGTTTAGAATGTGAAAACAGTGCGTGTGTTTTCCCAATTTCTGAGGGACACAAGCAGATGCAAGCTAAGATGGGCGGAAGCGGGTCGACACAAAAACTCAACGTTTTTTGCTTATTTTTACTCATCCCCACCCCTAGAAATCAGATGCCTTAAGATTCCCAACTCCACTCGTCCTCTTTCTCGAGTCCACCTTGCTCTATCGCTCGCTCCCTCGTCGTCCTTCTTCAACAGTGCTTCTTCAATCACAGCCGTCTGAGTCTGCATTAGTGTCTCTTCAGTCTTCGCTCTGAGGTTCGAATTTGACCAACAGTCTTCGGCTCTTCGCTCTAACTCATGGTGGGTCTTGGTAAGTTCATCTTCTTCATCTTCTCTGAGCGAACTAGCTCCCCCTAACTTCTGCTTCTTGTCATTCTTGTGTTTTCCTTCATCGTGAGTCATAAGCGTGACTAATCCTGAGAGTATAATCTTGACTAGAGAATGCTGAACCTGGGAGAATGCTAAACTAGTTACTGGCTAGGTATTTCTATTAATTATTATTGCTTACTAGTTACTGCTGAACCGTGAGAACTTCTTGGTCCGTTCTCCCAATTTAATGCTGAATAACTGATTTAATTTTTTTTTATTTGGATGGATTATTTTGCTGAGTTAAACATTGATTTATTTTAAATTTTTATTAGCTCTCTTTATGTTAAAATTGTAGGAAATTGTTTATAATTTTTAAATAGAAATTAAATCTGCAATAGCTTCTAATTCTAGACCCAGGAGTAGTTCAAGAAGTGTGAATTCTTGGTTTCAATCTAGCAATGAAAAGACAAAAAGAGAGTACTCCTTTATGGGCTTATGTGACTTTGGTTCCTCATAAAAATGAACGGGAAGGTGGGAATGGAACTTGAAAGTGTAACTATTGTAATAACCAATATAATGGCCTCTTATTCTAGAGTTAAATTTCATTTGTTGAAGATCTCGGAAAGAGTATTGCTATATGCCTGAAAATTGATGATAGTTGTTTAGGTGAAATGCGAAAAGCTCAAAAGGAAGCTGAGAATAGAAAAGAGAGGAGAATAAGAGGAAGAAGATAGAGGAGAGAAGAACAAAAGGGGAGTCAAGAAGAGAAGGCATCTGAATAATGCTTGTATTCATTCAAGTCACTCAAGTCACACACACACACACCTTGAATGTACAATAGATGATATTGATTTATAGGCTTAATATCACACCCCCAACTAACAATAACACCCTTTCCCATCATTTAGTTTATTACAATTATATATCAATTGTCACCTTCTTTGAAGACGCATTCCTTTCTACCCTTAGTCTTCAATTCAAAAAGAGAGGTTGAGAAAATCTCAAACTTAGGAAAAGGAACATAACTACTTTGAATCATTGGACCTTTGACTTTGCAACCATCTTGACACCAGTTTCATCAATCATCTCACCACTTGGCCAATCACCCACTTCATCCTAGCAAGTAACTAAAGGGAATTCAAAATCAAGGGTAAACATAGCCAAAAGAAAAGAAAAAATGGAAGAGAAAAAAAAAAGGCAAGATTTGTTAGTCTACCAAGAGAGAGAAAAAAAAATCAGGTAATAATGAGCCCTTTGTATGGCTTCAAGAGAGTTAGAGCCAATGGTGGTTCTTGAATTACCTAATCAAAATCTTCATAGCAACCCAAAGCAAGTTGTTGAACTTAATGATTTCGGTGCTCTTACCATACTTAAGAACTAAACTCATTCTTATACTCTTCATCCCATAGAATGATCTTTATTTGATTCAACTATATCAACTCCGCATCTTGCTTTTACACTAATCTTGACAAGGTAAAAGCTCCACTTGACAAATCACAAGGCTCTCGAGATACTAATGGAGAGAAGTAATTATGAAGTGAGAGCTCTAGAAAAGATTTGTACTTGAGAAGAGGTAGAGTTGCCATAAGGGAAAAGACCTATTGGATGCAAATGGGTCTTCATTACGAAGTACAATATAGATGGAATATTGGAAAGTTATAAAGCTTGTGTTATTACTAGAAACATTTTCACTAATTGCAAAATTGAACACAATAAAGTTCAAGTATCCATAGCTAACAATTTAAATTGGCCTTTTCAACTACTTGATATTAAAAATTCTTTCCTAGATAGAAATTAAAGAAGTATAAAGTACACTTCTTCATGGGTTCAACTTACAAGGAATGCCTAACCAGGTCTCCAAGTTGAAAATGTCCTTGTATGGACTAAAACAATCTCTTAGAGCTCGGTTTGAGAGATTTACAAAAGTTCTCAAAGAGATGGCTACAAGCAAGTCAAACTGACCATATTACTTTCTTCATATGCAGGAAAGGAAAGAGGACCATCTTGATTATTTATGTTGATGACATCATCTTGATTGGAGATGATGAAGAAATGGAGAGACTAAAGGAGGTACCAACTAATGAATTCGAGGTGGAAAACTCATGAAAAATGAGATATTTCCTTGACATGGAGTTTAAGGATGCTACAACCTCCTGTAGAATCTATGAAGTTTGATCAACAAAAGAGATATAAAATTAGTTGGACACCTAACATGTCTCTCTCACTAATAGAGTACCAATTATGGTGGGAAAATGGATAATTTGAGAAGTTAGATATATGTTAGGAATAAATATTATTTTATTTTATTTTATACATTTTTTATTTAATAATATTGTTTAGATTTTATTTAGATACTTAATTATCTAGATTTTATTTAGATATCTAGATATTTAGTCATTTAAATTTTATTCAGACATTTAGTTCTTTAAAGTTTATTTATATTTAATTCAGTATTTTATATAGATATAGATTTTAAGAGATTTTATTTAGTTTTATTTAATTATCTAATTATCCAGATTTTATTCATTATTTTAGATTGTATTTAGTATTATAAATATGCTTAGCAACTCAAAAGCAAGCATATCATGAATAAAATAGACTTTTAAGACTTCTAGCTGTCTAGAGATTCTCCTAAACATGGCTATTAAGAGAAATATAAGACAAAATTCTTGTTCTATATTAAGAGAATCTTGATAGATTTACTCCTTCCATTTTCTTTTATCAGTTCAATATTCTCTTATTAATATTATGAAGTTAGATTTTGATTTCATGTGTTAATAGAGATTCATCTTCTTTATTTTTGTCTACTTATCTTAGATCCTATCATTTAGTATCAAAGTCATTTGATCCTTAATGGATTCCCACCACCTCTACACTACTTCTACAACTTCACTCTCACCGCCTATCTCAACATGCACTTCCTTATCTAACCATTTTTCCTCACTTTATGAAAGGCACCTATTCCTTTATATTATAGCTCGCCTTGACGTCTTTAATTCTACCATTAGGGCACCACCAATTGTGTCGACTAGCAAACAAATCAAAGCCAACCAAATTCATTTAGGCATTAAGGGAGATATGAAAATTCAGAAATGTAAAACTCATCAACCTAGACGTGTGTGTAAGCACTTGAGTTTAGCCTTAAACAACGAATCTAAGGTCCAACACTCTCATGGTCCCAAAGGAATGCAACAACCTAGTCAAAATGAAACATTCTTAACTGGAAATACATTTTTTCATAAGGCTAAGGAGATGCATCCTCCTCTCCTTTATTTCTCAGAGACCCCAACAAACTCCAAGCCTTCTATTTCAAAGCTTGAACATGGCAAGGAACTCATCTGTCCTCTAAAAGACAACACTAAAGTCAAGATAATGCTAGCAAGTGCAATAGGAAAAGATGCTCCAGCAATGATGAAGCTTTAGGAGACCTTCTTTGAGCACAAGGTTCTGAACTTGGCAGATAGAAGGTCCAACTACAACTTTATCCTTGAAGTTTCAGTGCAACCTCTTGTTTCACCTTTTGGAACCCATATTGGAGATGCTGTTATCTATCTATTACACCCCTCTCAACCTCCTGATACACAAGAAAGCTATTGCATATGTCTCACCTTAAGGACAGGGCAAAATTTCAAGGTGGGTATTGATAGAGTACCAATTATGGTGAGATAATGGATAATTTGAGAAATTAGAGATATATTAGGAATAAATATTATTTTATTTTATTTCAGTCATTTTCTATTTAATAATATTGTTTAGAATTTATTTAGATATTCAGTTCTCTAAATTTTATTTAGATATTTAGTTATTTAAATTTTATTCAGATATTTAGTTCTTTAGATTTTAGTTATATTTTATTCAGTATTTTATAAAAATATACTCCTTGCCCTCAAAATGTAAAGCATTTTTAACCGAATCTCACCGCCTAATAAAATAGTTATCTACTTTTAAACTAACCCTATCTTTTCATATTTACCCCTATTAAACACCCTATAATAAATATAAAATCATTATCAATAGGGACACTTTTAAAAAAAAGATAATGATTACACCTCAAAAGACTAAAAATGCCTTACATTTTTTAACATCTAACTCCTCAAAAAAATGCCTTACATTTTTTAAGAGAGGGAGTAGATTCTAAGAGATTTTATTCAATTTTATTTAATTATCTAATTATTTAGATTTCATTCATTAGTTTAAATTGTATTTAGCATTATAAATATGTTTAGCAACTCAAAAGCAGACATATCATGAATAAAATATACTTTTAAGACTTTTGGCCTTTTGAAGATTCTCCTAAGCATTGCTATTGAGAGAAGTATAGAATGAGATTCTTGTTCTATATCATCTTAATAGATTTACTCCTATTTTCTTCTATCAGTTCTATGTTCTCTTATTAATATTATGAAGTGATTCTGATTTTATATGCTAATAAAAATTTATCTTTCTTATTTCTCTCTACTTATCTTGGATCCTATCACTCACACTAGACCTAACATAGCTTTCATTGTATGTGTTGTTAGCTAGCACATGTACTCACCCAAAAAAGTACACCTTGAACAATTGTAACAAATGCCATGGTATCTGTAAGGTACCCTGAGAAGAGCACCATTCTTTTAGATGATAGAAGGTCCACCATGAGGTACTATACACGTGTGAGAAAATTTCATCCAATGTAGAATAAACAAAATGTCATGGCAAGCAGCAGTGTGGAAAGAAAAATTAGAGCTATAGCTCAAGGGATTTGTGAGAGACTTTGGCTCCAAATACAGAAAATAGAGCCACTAACTGATGTTTAGTTATGTATAAAACTCTATTCTAATAAAAAGGTGGCTATAAGCATATCACTCAATCCAATTCAGCATGACAAAGCCAAATATGTAGAAGTGGACAAACATTTTATCAAAGAGAAGGTTGAAGATGGTATGATTTGCTTGACATATGTCTCAATTGAATAACAAACAGAAAATGTTCTTACAAAGGGACTTTCAAGATGGAGTTTTGAAGACAGCATGAGTAAGTTGAACATGATCAACATCTATGACCAAACTTGAGGGAAGACAACTGTCTGAAATTACACCCAATGTCAATTATCGTAAATAGTTACAGTTCATTATATTATTAGGATCTGATTTGAGGCTGCTAAAGTGGAATAGAATAGAATTCACTGTCTTCAACCCAGCTAGGCTTATTTATATATCAGATTCACTTGTACAGATTACCTTGGACCATGAAGTCAGTTCAATAGCAGCTCCACACTAACAACCCCAAATGCATGAGTCCACCAGACTCATGTCTATCTAGAAATGGTTTATAAGCACCCATACAACCCACTTTCCACAAAGAAGCTACAGAAGACATGAAAGATGAATTAGCCGTTAACAAAGTAACATAGAAGCAAAGAATTTGATCTATGTCCTTCCATCTTCCTCTCACATAGAAGTTCCAGAGCAAGTTATGATTGGCCAATGCTTCATCCACCCCTCAACACCAATGGGCTTTCTCGTCAAAGAACATGATAGAAACCCCTCGAATATTATTTAATCACCAAAAATAACAAGAAAAATCCCACCACATTAGCACAACTGACCAGGATTCAAATATAGAGCAACTATCGCAAGCAGAACAGCAGTAAAATGAGGATAAGACAATAACAAAGAAGCACAGTTGCAACTAGCAAGCACAGAATACTCATTAGCTTTCAAGAAGTTACAGCATCTCCCAATATACCTTTTAGAGTTCGATTACCGCATCCACTCACAAATTGACCCTTAGTTATTCTCCTACTAACCAACTTCTCACTCTTCCAACTCACCCCCTTCCCCCATGTTGCCGCACTCTGTTAGTTGCATTATTGCCCCTCTTCTCTTCTAACTGCCTCCCCATCCTGCCTCATCAAGAATATATCTTGATCCCATTTGTTCTTTCTTTCTTTCCCCTCCTCACCAGCACCTCTCACAGCCCTCTTCAAACATGTCCAAACCATCTCAAACAATTTTCTACCATCTTCTCCTAAATAGATGCCACACCCACAAGAGGCACAATTCCAGCATAGCAAGAGAGAGAGAGAGGTAGAAGAAGATCAAACAAAATACTCAAAGAAGTTGTTGAGCAAGACCTTTTGGTTAATATATATATATACACACACACACCCAAAAACTTGGTTATTGATAGAGCATAATGATATCGTACAATCTACATAGCCAACCCTATTTAGTGGAGGACAAGGCTGCTTGTCGTAATAGATGTTATGGATAAGTACCAATTGCCTACATATGCATTTTGGAGGCATAATGTGGCTATATCACTTATTGGACTGAAGCCAAATGTGAGGATAAGCTCATAAAGAGAGCATCTGTAAAGCACCTGTGGAATTGATATCTATGGATGATAATAGAATGGGATGAGTCATGAAAATGTGGGTTTGTAAAAAAGGCTTGCAGAATGGGTGGGTGCCATGGATCAAAACCTCTGATGCCAAATCATAGGATCCAAAATAGGTAGAGAGAAATAAGGAAGATCAATATTTATTAAAAGATGAAATCATAATCAAACTTCATACATTAGTAAGAGAACATAGAACTGATAACTGATAGAACAGAATAGGAAGAGTAATTCTATTAAGATAACATAGAACAAGAATCTCACCTTATATTTCTCCCAATAGCCACACCTAGGAGAATTTCTAAAAGGCTCAAAAATCTATTTTAGTCATGATACTGTAGCTTTTGAGTAGCTAATCATATTTATAATGCTAAATACAATCCAAACTAACTAAATAAAATCTAAATAACTTGATATTGGAATAAAATTTATACTTGATATCTAGATAAGTATTTAGATATCCAAATAAATAAATATTTGAATAAAATCTAAATAATAGTCTAAAATAAATTAAAAATAATATTTATTCCTAATATTTCTCTAACTTCCCAAATCACTCATTATCCACATTAATCGATACTCTAGCACGAGTTAATCTGGCCTAGCCTACAAAATTGGCAAGCTAAACAAGCTAGCTTTTTTTTTTAAAAAAAATTATTTCTACATTTCCAAAACCCATCCTCCCCACTTCATGCTTGATCTTTGTTGCTCACGCAGTAGAAGGAGGAAAATTTAGGGGGGAAAAAGGAACAGTACCACTTGGTAGGCCAGCCAGACAACCTGCCCACGTGCGGGTTGGATTGAGTTGGGTTTTTCTAGCCTAATTTTTGCAAGCTAGCCCAACACAACCTGTAAAATAAACCGCCCATAGGTTGGCCCTACCCTACTTGAAAAATGGCCAGCCTACTCCCAATACTACTTTTATCTATATTTTTCTTCACGTGACACAATTTTTTTGAGCATTTAAGGTTAAGTAAATTTACAGCTATCATTTTATCTATGATTTGCTGTGTATAAATTATGCATTTTCACATGGTGGTGTCTTGCTTTTCTCGAGCACGCATCTTTTTAGCACCTTGTGCCTAAGGCATTTTACAAGCCTTAAGCCTTGAGTGTGTCTTTCCCCTTTAATAACACTAACATTAACTTTAGCGCTTAAAGGGTGATCTAATGTGTGTTTCTCTAAAAACAATGCATGTGTGTATGTATATAAGAGAACACATGGTTAACCAAATGTGAGTTATGGCTTCTCCAAATAATTCTCCCTCGTCTTTTAACCTCTCATATGGTATATCCAAAATAAACAAACCAAAATCACAAATGCTCAGTGAAAACAAAACCATTAATTGAGATAGGGCATACTTAATGGTATTTCTCCCAGTGTCATATATATTGAATCATCCTCACCAAGTGTTCCCTGAAACAATAAGTTGAATGTCCAAATAAGTTAATCATTGATAAAAATTTCATAGGTAATTGCTAAATTCTGGCCAGATAAAAAAATAATAAATTAAAATAAATTAAATCACAGCTTAAAATGATGACATTTCACTGCAGATTTAAAATAAATGCAGTAGCCTTCAATTCTTCATGAATCATATATCAGGGCAGAATTAAATTCTCAATGAATTCAAGCTTTGCTATGGTACCGGTCCATTATGAAGACCAATTTCATTGTGCACAGAATTCATGTCCCCTGGCACCGAAGAACAGTTCGGGAAATCAGACCCAAGCAACTCTGACAGCATTAGCCCATAACCACCGTCCTGAACATCATGTAATTCACCAGCATTTTGAGCATGGTTAGAAAAGCCTTCAAGGCCTGCAAACATAGCCTCTGTCCTGTGTATATAAATAAATTTAGATAAGTAAAAAAGCAAGGTGAATGAGGGAAAAGACTGCAGCTAACAGTATGGTATTTCAATTGGAAAAACGGATTTACAGCTAACACACGTCAACTAGATCTTCTAGCAAACACTACTATTAAGATAGAGTAGGAAAATATAACAGACTGACGCAAAAAGTATTTTAAACATAAACACATGAAGAACTTACTTTCTATCTTTAATGTCAGCGGGCCTTCCTTCTTGAACAGAATCACTTTCTAGATCAATTATTTCAATCTCTTTGCTACCTGTTGCACAAGTACTGAATCCACTAGATACACTGGCATGACTTATGGATAGATCAATATCAACAGGTTCTGTCCCTTTCTTTGTTTCAGAAATAGAGGGATAGATAAGAATTGGATCATCTTCATGATTATCATGTAGCTCAGATGTTTCAATGAGATTCAGATCACAAGTTCTAAATGAACTAGACAATGATTGTTTCTCCTCTGAACACTGAAGAAATGGTCTATTTCCACCTTGTATGAACTGAGGATTACTCATTAGGCTCCCATGATCAGTCTTTAAAGTTGCGTTATCAAGGGGTGAAATTTCATCTTCCACTGGGTTCTTTTCAATTGCCTTGCCATGCAGGAAATAATCTTTGGTCCTTGGGACGAAGGAAGGAAGCCACTCTTTTAGTTTTTTGGTTTCCTCCCTCCCATCATCAGCATTTGCTGCACGCTTTTCACCTCTTTCCTCAATCATGGATATGCTACTTCCATACTCTGGCAATCTGGGACTGGACTCTAGGTTGTTACTATTTAAGTGAGCTCTATCTTCACAAGATTCCGAGCTCACAGATGTAACCTGCTCAACATTACAAGTAGCATGTAAATCTCTGATGTTGTCAGCAGCATAAACAGATTGCACCTTGGTAACTTCTGAGTCAAGATGTTTCGAATCCGAAGTTTTGTCAGATTGCAAATCAACGGATGATGAACCTTTGACAGACTCTTCAGGTGAGATTTCAGGTCCTTGAAGACACACACTATTATGAGTTTTTTCGTTCCCATTGTTCCTGAGTGGATCAACCTTCAAACCCTTGCATGTCAGTGAGGATCGGGTCTTGGTAGGCACCTTGACAGATTTGCATAGCGTCAGCAAATCAGTGCAAACCCTGCTAGAGGTATTACTCTCTTGACCAGTGAGAGAAATAGAGAAATTATTTGAGATACTTGGTTTCTCTATATCATCGTCGCAAGTACTATCCTTCAACTCCTTACCTCCTGCACTGATATTGTCCAAGTTATTGGAAGCCTTGATCGGTTCCCTTTCCATATTATATTTATTATTTGCTGCAGTAGAAGGTCCTGCTTTCAATTCAGTTTCACTTGAACCGGGCTCCTTGTCTATCCCAGCATCTAGATCACCCCCATCCTCACATTTTGGCACAAACCCAGTCGAGTTAGACGTTTGCAAAACATTATCAGTACCAACAGCTTGCTGCTGCTGCTCCTCATCGTGGGGTTTGGCAACAGTATCATCATTATCCTTTCTCTCAGGGGACACTCGAGGTCTATCAGACCAGGAGCCACTCCTTTTGAAATCACGACCCCAATCGAAGCCATTGCTTCGGAAACTTCCCCCTCTTCTCCTTACTTTGTCTTTGAAGTCATCAACACCGAACCTTCTCCGACCAGATGACGTGTCAGAAACTGAGCTTCCAAGACGAGCAAGGACTGATGTACGCCCCTCCGCTGGTAATTGCGGAGCATCTCCGTCTTGCGCCCTAAATTCACTAGAGTGCTTCTTGAAACTAGAATTATGCCATTTAACAGGGAGAGTACTAGGTGGAAGCAAACCCTGAGAAACCAAATACTCGGCAGCAAGACGACCAGCTTCCATAAAAATATCGCCCTTGCGAAAGGGTGGCTGCGAGGTATGAGCAAAAGTTTTGGGGTTACCATGACCCCTGCCAAAACCACTATCACGATTGCCATAAAAGCCATGGCCGCCTCTGATTGAACTCTCAGCTAGATTCATACCCATCCCCATGGAACCTGACCTATAACCATTTCCAGGGCTACGTTGGCGAGCGTGCATCGTTATGGCTGGCTGAAGGAATCAATCAACTCAATTAATTACCAATTCTTCAACAGACTCGATACTCAACCAAATAGTTTCTCCTCCGCCTCTTACTGATTAAATTTAACACCACAATCACGAATGCCAAAAATGAAATTTTTAGAAGGGACACGGATCTAAGCAATTAGCTACAAACTCTGTACAGGTATGCTTTCGATTGAAGTATTCCAAACTTCCGACCTTTCTAGGAGGAATGAATGTACGAACAAGTTTTATTTATTTGATCCACAGATAGCTCGTTTCATACCCGCAGCTCAGGGCAGGCAGCGAACATAATCCGATCAATATTCGATGATCATCCCACCTTCCTTTTTAATTCGGGAATTTTCGGTTGATCTGTGAGAATACTGTTTACTTTATTTACAAATCACATGCAAAAAAATTTCTCAAATTATATAAATAATAATCTAATATTTCATAATATTATAATTTTATTAAAATTTATAAAATTTTCTACGTCAATAAATTTTAAATTAAAAAAATTATTTTATTTTTATTGATTAGTTATGATTTTTATTAAATTTTTATAATTCATAAAATAAAAATTATTTTTTCTTATATAAAAATTGCACTTGGGGCTGTTATTTTAAAATAAAAATTATACTTGATAAAATCAATAAAAAAATTATATTTGATAATTTATATTTTTTATTCAACTCTTACAATACACAAAACATAAATTATAATTAAGGTTTATTATCTTTAATAAGGATAAAATAGTGTTTTCATTTTAAAATTTATTAACACAGAAGTCTTTAAAGACTTTAATAAAATTATGACATTTCAAAAGATTAGATTATCATTTATATAATTTGAATCTATTTTATTATTATTTTCCCATTATCTTCTTAATCTTTTGAAAAAATTGCTGAAAAATCCCTTATCATAAATTTAATTATGAACAAGAGTTAAGTAACGTCCTTTACTGTCACTATGTCACAAGGTCAATCACAATCAATAATTCAGTGTCAATATGTAAAAACAATGTCATTTGGTGTCAATATGTTAAACAAAGTCGTTCAGTGTTAATATGTCAAGCAAGGTCTCTGTTCAGGATATGCAAAATGCAAATTTTGGAAGAAGAGTTGCTTATAGTTGAATATACATGCATATTCTCTTAAAACATGAAATCAAGTGTAAATTTTTAGGATATCCAAAATGTATATTCAAATAAATGAAAGCCAATTGCATTCTTTGAAGGGTGCTTGCATATCTTGGAAGAAGAGTCACATATAATTGAAGACCTCTGCATATTGCCTTAAGATATGACATTAAATGTAAATTTTTAAGATATCTAATTTGCATATTCCAATAAATGAAAGCCAATTGCATTTTCTTGAAGGGTACTTACATATCATGGATGAAGGGTCACATATGGTTGAAGATACCCACATCAAGTGTAAAATTTCAGGATATTCAATTTGTATATTTGAATATATGGAAGTTAACTTGCATTTTCAAGATATGCAATCTCATCTTCGAATAAATTGAGGGTTACAAGTGAAACACAATCTTTGAAACTTTAATTTTCAAAATATTCGTTTGTGATATTCGAATAAAACAAATGTCAAAAATGAAACACAGCCTATGTCACATCAATTTTCAAGATATATATACTTTATATTCAAATATGGCTTAAAAATTAGAGTTGGGATATTGCACCAACATTGAGTTTTCTAGATATCATAAATGCATATTCTAGAAATGTTCCAATTTTTCATAAAAACACCAAAAGATGTTTTGAAAAGGCAAATGAATATTCTAAAAAAATTTTCATTTTTCATGAAAACACTTATGAATATTTTAAAATTTTTACACCTTAAATTCAATATGAAAATGAAAATTTTCTAATCCAAGAAGTAAATGGCAAAATGAACCAAATTTCATTTCATTAAGATATGAAATTACAATATCACTATGAACCATTTTAGCAAGCCACAATTACAATTTAGACATATTGTATGCAAATAAAATACCACTATAGTTGCAATGCATAAATGGTCCTTCTTCTATAATTAAACAAGTCAATTGGCACTTGAGCATCTTGCTCTTCTTTCAAAGCATGATTTTCAAAATCAACATTTAGATCTCCCATGCACTTTTCAATCTTATTATTATCAAGACCTACGAAATTAAAATAAATATATATGACATATCATTGTAACCATCCAACATGGCAACACCAAAAGAAAGAATAATAAGTAGTAATGAATTACTTACCATTACCAAGCGACTTAATAACAACATATGCACATTCCTTAGTGTATTTCTTTTCCTTCATAAGGCATCTAATTTGAAAATCAGTTATATAGTCCTACCAAACCCAAGGCTTTTTGGATTCATTTGCCACTTTGTAGACACATAGCTGTCATAAATTATCAATAATTATAGCATCCTAAGTCTTTGCTCGAGAAACTAATTACTAATTAAGGGTAAATTAGTTAATTAGTAGATTAATTATATTAACTATGATTACTAAGATTTTGGGTTTTTGGATATTTATGTGATTAGGAAAGAGTGGAGAATAGCGATCCAAAGTGAAGCATGCAAGCCAAAGTGAGAATTCTCTCACTGTGTCACATGCCAATAGTAATACATGGTCAAACATGACAATGAAAGAAGGGTTGGAGTATGAGAGGAAGGGAGGAGAGTATCTACTCTGCTAGGGCAAGAAGTTTTAAAGTCTTAGGAGTTAGTTTTGACATGACACTTACCAGGAAAGTTTCATACCTCCTTACTATCCTATTCTACTATAATTTCTCTTAGTTTAAGAGATAAAGAAATTAAATTAGGGAGTGTTGGGGGTTCTTTTCTAACTCAATAGTTATAAAAAAAACTATTGAAAGTTAAACTAAGGTTTTGCAACTGATATGATAGTTAATGGTGAAACCTAAAAGCTATAAGCTTGATTTAGCCTAAGTTGAGAAGTGGTGAAAGGGTTAAAATGCTTTTGTGGATTGTAGGAAGGGTAATGAAGTTATAGAAGGCATGTTGAAGATGATTGGAGTTAAGGTGGCTAGCTGGAAGTAATTAAATGTTAAAATGAGTCTAACTTAGTTTAATTGTGTTAATTAGTACTTATGGTGAATTTGTGACATCACTACTACAAAAAAGGGAATATTTGACAGTTATTTTTGCCTATATTGGATGGTTATGAACCGTCCAATATAAGATTGTCATATATTAAAAAAACAAATACTGGACGGTTATTAGAACCATCCACTATTTAATATTGAACAGTTCAAAGACCCATCCAATGTAGTGTCAGAATGGGTGATACAGGGAAAAAATATATTGGATAGTTTATTTTAAGAACTGTCCAATATATGGGTATATTGGACTGTTATTATCAGAACCGTCCAATATGTGCATATTGGACAGTTATAGTAAATAACCATCCAATATATTATAATTTTTTTAACATACTGGCTGCATTTCTTGCAGCCCCCTACAACAATATAATGCAAATACAGACAAGTCCAATCCAATTCAGTTCAATCTATAATTATACTAAACTAAATTGAATTATAGTAAACTAATAATTTTATTAAATAAAAAAATTTGTTACCTATACAATTGCTCAACATAATACTATGTAAAATAAAGTTGTTTGCTAAACTAAACTAAAATTATTCTAAATTATAAAAACTAAAATGAAAAAGTACAATTTACTTATTTTTGGCCCACAGCTGAAAAATGTACTCACACCATTTTTCAATAACTTTGTTGATGTGACAATCCTTAAATTCTTCACAATATGAATCGGAATAATATTGCAATAATATAATATGACAACAAAGTTAATTATTTCAACAAATTAAAATTCATAATCACATATAATTTAATGTAAATAACATACATACCGCAAGGTGAATTAAAGTCATCCCATGAGTGATGATGTCTTTAAAAAATCTCATGACGCAATATCCACAATCCTCACTATATACTATTTGTCATAGGCACTGCATAAAAAAACCAATAGACGTGTTATTGAATTAATTAGAAAACTAAAATTGATTGTTAAAATTAGTAGTGAGAAGTACCTTTATTATCTTCCAATTAGGGTAGGTTAGATCATATGACTTGTACCTTAATGATATAGGCAAATTCTTTTCAGTGCGATAAAGCACCAAGGCCCTGATAAGAAAGAAAATAAATTAAAACTAGAAATTTAAAATGAAAAATATAGAAATGTTAATCAAAATATAAACTTACAAATTAAATAATTCCATCATATCTGGCCTATTATTTGGCTACCTACTAGCAGAATCTAAGTAGTAAAACTTTGCAGTTTTAACAGCAACTGGCATAATACTGATCAGCATCCAGTGCTCCTAAAATGATTTGAAAGCATATGTTATGAAACTTAAAATGACAAGATAAATTAAATAAATTAGGATACCACTAAACTCACCCTTGTGCATAAGGTACTAGAAATAACGTCCCGCAGTAAGGCTTTTTGCCTTAAAGTACTTTTCTAATGTTTGAGCTTGGCTATACCGCACCTCGGTAGTGATGTTGCGATGAATAGAGACATCATGAGGACAGACAAAAACAAATTTTGATGCAAGATCACCAGGGACAATAAAATTTTCATATAGGTACCGAAATGAAAAAAATAAAAAAATTATTATATTATATTAAGTTTAAAATATAATAAAAAGTCATATAAACAATATGTACCTCATATAAAAAATGAACCACATTTTGGCTAATCGAAACTTGCTTAAGGACTTTGTTGACCATCTCAACCCTAATCACATCGTATTGTTCTCTTCCATACATGCTTTGGTCAAAGCTGATAAGCACTGTAAAATCAGCAAACAACTTTGCATATGCCTCAAGTGTGCTCTAGTAGGTTTTTGGCAATTGGTTTGGCACGGCTGTCTCAACCTTAGATAATTGGCCCGATTGTTTAGTGGTGCCCTTTTCCTTAGGCTACATACTAATTATACAGTTAAAGACCAATTATGTGACATATACATAAAAAGGTAACTAATATACCTGTTGATTTTGTACTTCATCTTTTACATAGAAGCAAACCTTGGGCCATGCAATAAAGTTGCCAGTTGCTTCTCCAACAGTAAATGCATCTAAGGTTAGAATAGGGAACGGGTAGTTGGCATCAATGGGTTTAAGAATCAACCCTCACAAATTGTCTGCAGGCATCGGCACATTATGTATGGCCTTTTCCCCAGGGATATTAAACACACGGCCTCTTGCCACTTTGTGTCTACTAGGGCTATTTTCCACAAAAAAGCAATTGTGTTCACCCTAAATAAAAATAAGTATAAGTT